AATTCACTATGAAAAATCCAAGAAATGACAGAATGTGTTTTTTGAAATTATTACACAGTGCTGGTAAAGTGCACTATATCCAGAGAGAAAATGGGTCCTCTGGTTACCAAATTGTCTCTGCTGTTCACAAGCCCAGGTTTGCTTTGCTTTGGAAAAGTTAAACTCTTATTCATCCAGGGATATATAGTGGACAAGTATTATTTTTATTGCCATGACAATAACCAACCTTTAGTATCTGGATTGCTGTCTTGGTTACTTTTCTCATTTCTGAGACAAAATACCTGACACCCAACATTAAAGGAGGACAAGTTTAACTGGCTCATAGTTTGTAGAGATTTCAGTTCATAGTTGGCTGGCTTTAAGGCAGGGTGACATGGCAGAAGGTCATTTCAGAGGAGAAACAGTTCATAGGTAAAAGGAAGCAAGAAGCAACCTACAAGTGACAATACTAGCCATTTCTCTGTTCCTTATATTTCATCCAGGCTACTAGACATTAGGGTTGGGGGCACTTACACCCAGAGCAGGGTACCCTTAATCCTACCTGAACAATGTCAAATAAATCAGGGGACTAATTTAGTAACCACATACCCTTGATCCCATCATCACATACTCTAGATTCAACCACTTCTAAAAAGCACCCCCTATGACCACATGAGGCTTTGGGGGAAAATCTAGACACAAGCCATAACATTTCACCCCTTTCCCCACAAGGACTCATTCACATCCTTTCTGTGAAAGGGATTTAGTCCATCTCTAAAAATTGCCAAAGTTCTAACAGTTTCAGCATTGCCTAAAATCCCAAGTCTAAAGTCTCCTCTGAGATTCAAGGCAAATTCTTCGCTGGGAGCCTCCTGTACAAATGAAAAGAAAGTTAAACACTTCCAACATATAATGGCACAATAGACATTTCCATTCCAAAAGGTCCAAAGAGGGGAGAAGGGAGGAATGGAAACAAAGCAAGACCAAAATCCAGGGAAACATTGCCTCCTGTTCCATATCCAGTTTTTCTTAGAAATCTGTGGCAAGCTGTGAGCTCCAAAGGGTTTTTGGTTGCTCTATCCCAGTGGAACTTCTAGTGTATGTGCCTCCCATAGATTCTCTCTCTTGGCCAGTTTTACTTAACTTCTTGCAGCTTTCCTCAGATGATCTGTACTCCTGGCTTCCCCAACCTTCTGCGTCTCCACTGCACCTTCAAGTTAATACTTAGAGTTTCACACACTGCCCTCTCAGGGGCACACTGCCTGGTCTCACACACCTTCTTCTAAAAGCAGAGTAAAGGCTTTCCTGACCACACATCTCTTGCATTCTGCATGGACCTAAAACTAGCACTACATGGATAATGCCAAAGTCTTCTGCCAGCTGGAACAATAGATAGCCTTCCTTCTCTCTTGGCTGTAGGCACTAAGATCCTGGATTAATGAGAACTCTGAACCTATTCCCAAGGAACAAATACTTTTGGCCACCACCATTCTGGAGCATGGTGCTCTTGGACTCTTTTCTTAAAGCTAAGTCTTTTACCTTTGCAATTTTGAGTCTGCAGAGGCTGGGGTCCTATTAGGTATTGAGAAATAGTTATTGTAATATCCTCAGGCCTTATTTTCTGTTCTCCCTTTCCTTATCAGCAGTAATGTTCTCTTTTGTTCTATCTTTGGAATCTGCAACTCTTCTGCTCTTGGTTCATAGTACTTTTCAGAGTACAAAGCTTCTTTGACAGGTGTCTTATGAAGGCACACTATAAGGCTATTTTTCTCACCACTTCATTGAATCCAGTCTTTCCATGGTAATTAGTAAGGCCTTACCAATACTCATTCTTCATTCTAGGCCCTTTAAACATCATGAACAAAGCTTGTTTTCTTTCCAGGACACTGCCCTCTTCTGATTTCTATTCTGGCTCAGTGAGCATCACATTTCTGTCCATTTTCTTAATTCTTCTTAGTTTCCCTAAACAGAAGATATCAGGCATTCTGCAAACTCAGTACTGTAAATTGTAACTAGTTATAACACCAGACCTTGCTGGTGTTTTCACACTGTATGCCTTTTGGGAACATTAGAATACTGACATGAATGCTTAACAGGGATGAGTAGAATTGCTGATTGAAGTCTATGTATGTGTGTATTTCACACTGTAAACTGTTGTTTTAAGTGGGTAAGATACATTTCAAAATAATGCCACAAAAAAGTTAGAGAGAAGTAAAAAGCTTTAATCACATAAATTGTGAAAATGGTAATTCATAATTTATTTTTAAAATAAATATACAGGTATTGATAAATTGATAAGATGTGCTTATCTTTATAGATACGAAGATGTATGTAGAGACACACAACTGTAATTGTGCTTCATTAACCACTTCTATAACTTTTGTCTGGTCTAGTCAGTCTTCAAGGACCTGTCCAAGATCTCCAACTGCCTGTATGAGGGGTATGATGAAGAAAGAAAAGAAATTTAGTAATGCATAGAAAGGAGGCTGGGAAGTCAGTGCCTCAGTATGGGCAAAGATAAAGACTTCTTTGGCTACCAGATTTTTATTTCTTTTCTAGTGAGAAGTGCAGGCAAAGGAGAGGGTACTTTTCCTGGAACAGCATCCAAGTAGAAGTGGGATCAGCAAGTTTAATATCATAGAAGAAACAAGTTAAGATGTTTTCTCATACTTGAGTACTGGGGCCCTCCCTGTGTTGTCCTCAGCAGATCTCATCCTGCTCCATGGGTGCTACAACCTCGCTGATCATCTAGATCTTAGCTCTGGCTGGTAGAAAGCAGGTTGTCCACATTTCAAACTGGCCTACAAGGCAGGGCAAGGGCAACCTCAAACATCCTCTGACTCAAATTATAATTTGTGGTCCCCAATAGTCAGTCTATAAAATTTGTCATGAGTGATAAAAATGAAATACACTGTCTTCTTTATGTATCTTCATATGATAGTGGTACTGAAAAGAATAATAGCACTCACCCTGTCAAACATTGACTTTTGAGTATAAAATATGTTGCTTATCTCTCCTGCCACACATCATCTTGTCTGGGAAAGATTGTCTTTTCCTGAGGGCTCTTGTTCAAGTGCAAACCTAATATGTTCCATATTCACAGTAGAAGGTACAGTGGTGGGACTAGGAAGAGCTCCTCAGGGGTTTGCATAGCCCTCATCAGGAACCAAGGGACCCTGTGTCTCAAAAGCACATGAAGCTCCAATACTAGCACTCAGTTCACACAGCCACACTCAGGGTGGTTTGCATTTACCTTTGTCTTCTATCCAGAGACTGGCTTATACTATATTCATCTTTGTTACCTGGAAGGGGAAAAGCTAGAGGCCATGTATTGAAGGCATAGTCCCCAGTCTGTGGTAGGACTGGGAGTTCAAAGAGGGCAGGTAGTCAGGTTACTGGAGGCGTGTCCTGAAAGACGATATTGAGTCCCCAACCAGTTCCTTCTTATCTTTGTTTTGTGGCTTCATGAGGTAAGCAACTTTGATCCACCAGACATTCAACATCACACAAAAGGTGGATCCAGTTCATCCTGGACTGAAGACCCTGAAAGCATAAGACAAATACATATTTCCTCCTTTTGATTATTTCAGGTGATCACAGCAACAGAAAGCTAACACAGGCAACTTCTTCCCTCTACACTTATGGTATGTGGCTGCTTCTATTCTTACTTTCTCCTTGAAATTTACTCATGCCAGCCTAGTTTTGGTTTTCAGTGTATTTCTGCTTTAAATGTGAGGCATTTGTGAAAATTTTCAAAGTAAGTAGGATTCATTTTCTTTGCTAACTATCGTCAGTGAGTTAAGAGTGCTATTTGCCATTTTTGGGATCACCCCATGATATTCTCGATCGTCTATGAAACTTGTGATACATAGTTTTCTTGATCTACGGTAATATTTGCTATATTTATTTCTTCAGCTCCTTCCCTACATTTTCCTATTCTATGGAAGAAGAATGGAGCTTATTTACCCATATTGCCCAGCAATATTCTTGTCCTTCATCTTGGTCCCTTTAGTGGTGATCATGGAGCAAATGTGGTGAGACGGATAAAATTTGAATATCTTAAGAAAAGTGGAAGAATGCCCAATAGTGGGAGAAAGGTAGAGAATGAGGAAGGTTCTTTTTGTAAGGATGAATTCAAGCACTTAATGACTGTTTCAAGGAACCACATAGAGATTCTCACTTCATTCACATGCGCAGAAAAAAATTCAACATTACTGAATATTTATAATTAATACTGTATATTATTAACTTGGAAGCCTTTTGAAGATGATGTCTCATATATTAACTATTAGTGAGAGCCATAATACATATTGAATCACTGAAGAACATGAATTATTAGACTGAAAGGAGGACAAAGGATTCAAGTAAAGGTGTCTATATGCCTGTATTTGTTTCTGCAAGAATCACTAAAGAGTACAGTGTTATATTAGTATTATTCTTAGTACATAGCAATGTAGCAATAGTGATCTCTGGGAGATTATTAGTCAATTCTGACACTTTGTATAAGATTTGGTTAGGATTTGCTTAAGCTCTTACATATACCTAACATTGAAATTTTTATAACTTCTCAATATTTAGAAAGTTCCATAAACCAGTTCATAGTCTTATAGACTATCATATACTTTAGAATTAGTATTTGCCTCTAACTCATGCTGGCAGACAAATATATGTAAATTACAAAAAATGAAAGCCTGCATATGCTGTAAATATATTTTTGTATATTAATCCATGAGATTTCAGCATGCCCTTTGTCATAAACTACAAAACTCTCCAGGTGATTGTAAGGCACAATGTATCTGGATGAAGTCCATCTGAGCTGCTGAGAAAAATGCAAGATTTTCAAAAAGTATGAATGCAGTTACTAGAAAATCTTCATGTTTCCAGGTTTTATTTTGCATACATGAGTTTGTAAAGAGAAAATACTTCTGAATTTTTAATAATTAAATACACATAGCATTTTCAATGTATACTGTAAACTGTTTAGAAGTGATTTCTGAAATTATTGCATTCTCTTACAGACAATGAATAGTTTTATGGGGAGCACATTTAAAATCCTTTTAAGTGTGGAATTCATAATTGGAAATGTAGGAAATGGCTTCATAGCACTGGTAAACTGCATGGACTCTGTGAAGAAAAGAAAGATCTCTCCAGTTGATGAAATACTCACAGCGCTGGCAATCTCCAGAATTGGTCTGTTTTTCTCAGTAGTCATAATTAAATTGGCATTTATGGCTTACCCAGAGAAACTGATGACTAAAAGCATGTTAAGAATGATTAATGTTATCTGGATAGTGACCAATCATTTTAGCATATGGCTTGCTGCATGCCTCAACGTCTTTTATTTTCTCAAGGTAGCCTATTTTACTAACTCGATTTTTCTTTACCTGAAGTGGAGAGTTAAAAAAGTGGTTTCAATGACACTGCTGATGTCTCTGTTTGTCTTGTTTTTAAACATCATAGTTATATCCATACCAGCTTATAGTTGTATTGATGGATCTAAAATAAACATATCTTCCAGTTCCGGTTTGAGGAACTCTACGTGGTCTTTCAAACTTTTCTTATTCACCAACTCCATGTTTGCTCTCATACCCTACACTCTGTCTTTGACAACTTGTCTTCTCCTCATCTTGTCCCTGTGCAAACATCTGAAGAAGATGAAGCAGAATGCCAAAGGATTCAGAGATGCCAACATCGTGGCCCACATAAAAGCCATGCAAATGGGCATGTCCTTGGTCCTACTTTATACGGTGTTCTTACTTGTTCTCACTATACAGATTTCACACATTGAATTTCTGGATGATGATATGATTGTTTCACTGGACTACTCCATGGGAGCTGCATTTTCTGCTTCACATTCGATTGTTCTGATTCTGGGAAACAGTAAACTGAGGCAGACTTCTCTTTCAGTGCTGTGGTGGCTGAGGAACAGCTGCAAATGTGCAGCTCTCAAGTTCCTAAAACACTTCTAGGATTATTTTACATTTTCTGGAGGAAAACAGGGTTACAAAACATCTTATTTGTAACTCTATACTTTCCAAATATTCCTCTGGTGCATGTACCATTGCTTATTTTATGAATGAATGTTTAGGACTATCATGATCCAAGCATATTATAGTGTTAGTAGTATATGACAATAGTATATATGAATTTACACATCAATACGTAGAAAATAGATGACCATCGGCCAAGTAAAGGTTAGAAGTCTTTATATTAACAAGCCTTGTTATCTTTTTGACAATTATTAGCTCATTCCATGGTCAAAATGCAAAATTATAATATATAAAAGGTATGTGTATGGATGCATGCAAATCAAATACTTAAATTTGAAGCTTATAATTTTATATATAAATAATTTTAATAAGATGCATCTAAATTAACAAATGATAAATGAATAAAATAGTGCTGAAATCAAATACACTAAATTTATCCTTTAAAATATAAAACCCTATTTATGAATTTTTAAAAGTTCTTTAGAAACATGAGGCTCTATTATTCTAATTTAACAGCATTATTACTTTCAAATTGAAAAAGATTCTTAAACTATTTTACCCTTCTTAGCAATCATTAGTTCCCATTTGAAACATACTTTATTCTCCACTATATTTATCAGGCATGTACAGTAGTGTATTTAGAGTTTATTGCACAAGAATACCAATCATGACTATGAGGTTTTTGCAGAGTATTACATTGGGAATTGGTTTTTGGTATATTTTGCATCATCACAAGACCACATATAACTTGAATAAAAAGCAGCAAGTTTGATAAGAATGGAAATTGAAAGTAATTTAGCAGTATTCAACACATAATTAACACAAACTTTTGTCAAATTTATATGCTATTAGTATTGTATTTTGGGAGAAAGACACATAAAATTAAATGTACAAGACTGGTCAAAATTAGGGAATAAGTTGGGTTTCAGATAGGTAAGAAATAGATAGAAATGTAGTATGTGCTCTGGGTTCTGTGCTGTTACACTTTCTGTAAGATAGAATCCTTGTTTTTAAAAATGAGAAATTCTTCATTTGAGTTCATTTTCACAAAGAAGTCCTTTCACACAGCCAAGTTTATATATAGTATAGATTTTGTACTGCCTTAATGTAGATTGTTAATTAATTTGAAAAATTATATTGTGAACATTTGGAGACACTTTGTTTAGCACTATATTCTATAAAAGAAAAAGTAGTTATTTGTAATTGGCAACCACTAAAAAGAGGACAATAATATCTAGGTGGCAGGTAATCCATATGCTCTACATTAGTACTCATATACATTTAATGTTAAGACTTATTCATCATTACAGGAAAATGTCTGCAAAGAGCTAGAGTAATAACCGCTAGCCAAGGGAGGGTGTCCCTGAAATTCTGATATAACTTTACCAGGAGGCTGATCACAGCTAGAGTTGGGATTTGGTGGGAAGAACATGTAAAAGAATATGCAATTTTATCACTTATCTTTAATTTTATTAATTTTTTCAGTGATATTTGTTATCAAATAACCATGTATGCAATATAGTAATTTGGGGTGTTTTATTAGAGAACAACTGCCTTACTGAGCTATCATAACTGCTTTCCGATTTCTTTTACAGATACAAAATCCTGACTCCTACATATAATTACTTGTAATGATTATTTCATTTCTTCCTTCCAATTACTTCTAACATTTTTTGGTGTTGGCTACATAATAAAGTGGCTTGGACATTCAAAAAATTAAGTAATTAAAAGTTTCTTGGTGTTTTATCAAAATCATAGATTTACATCAGCTGTCTGGTGAAATTTCATGGAATTATTTTCAGAGAAATTCATCAGTGGTTGTTATATTGCATATTGTTATTTTCAAATTAGTTGTTCAGATTACCACATACAAGCATGCAAAATTGGTCAAAAAGAGAAAAAAGTAGCCATTAGCTGTTCCTTTCAATAAACCATTAGACATCAGCAGTACAGTTATCCCAGCTATCCATACATATCTATTTTTTTCCCTTCCTTCTTTCTTTTTCTGCTTTCCTTCATCCTTGTTGTTCATTTTTTAAATTCTCTTTAATGGTTTGATCTATCTTTCATTCTTACATCTGATAATCTGAGCAACTTTGTCGATTGCAGTATGTAATAGAACAACCGCTGTTAATTCCTATCATTTTGTTCTGAAACCCTGTATCATTTTTATTGATTTTGCTTTGTTTTTGTCATGTTGTTGATATTTTGCTATTGTTCCGTTTTTATTATTCTCTTTAAAATAAAAAAGCAAAAAAGAATTCTTTTCTGAGAGTCATTCTCTGCTTATCTTTTATGCCAAAAACATCAAAACATGTCAAGTGTGTAGTGTTATTGATGATGATGATTGTGCGTTTTCTTTTCCTCTGACCAATTAAAGAATGATATATGCCTCTAGTAACACTCAGTAAGGCATATCTTTCATTGTATGCTGTACCTGAGGAAATATCATGTAAATATGCATACATATAATATAGAAAATTTGTACTAGTCAAAGGTAAATTGAAATACAGATATTCTCTACAAAGTAATGACATGTTATGTCCAAAAAAGGAAATAATCAATTTGAATTTTATGAGAAATCTTTTTACAAAATCACATGCTAAAGGAAAGTTGGCACATTTCAAAGTACTGGAGAATGCAACTCTAAATTCTTGGTCTAAAGTACATCCTCAGGTATTCAATTAATTAATAAATATAATTTTATATAAAATTACTAAGAATATTTCTTACACATATCTACTCACTGTAAATACTACTAATGGGCCTACTTCAGAAAAACATATGGACTAAGTTTTTAGTTTCAAAATCCAGCAGTTGAAGCCCTAACCACCAATGTTACTGGTTTTGGAAATGCTGCATTTATGAGCATCATTAAGAATAGATACAGTGATAAGATTGAAGCCTTACTCCAGTATAACTTTAGTCCTTAGAAGAAGAGGAGGCACACAGTCCAAGAATACAGAAAAGTGTGCGAACTCAGAGAGGATAGATTCTAAGTGAAAGTGGCCACCTATTTGCCAGGAAGAGAGACCTCACTAGAAGCCAATGCTGCTGCCCTCTTGATCATAGACATGTAGTTTCTAGACATTCAGAAAATAATTTTGTATTATTTAAACCTCCTCTGTTTGTGGGATTTTATTATGAAGGCCTGTGAACACTGATACAAAGACAAAAAATAAGCAGAAAAGTGTGATGTTCAAGAAATCAAATGTTAAATGTGTTGAAAAAATAAATGTTGACTTCATGTAAGTTAAAATAAAGTCAAAATTCTTTTACATTTCCAGCAAGACATTAAGATTCTACATGAATGTATTACATACTCAAATATATTTAATTGTATTCTTCATATACTCTCCTTTAATGCTTATTAAAATAAAGAATCTACATAACACATAAGGGTGTCATGTGCAAAGGGATTATAAAACTTGCCAGGGCCTTTGCTTGGACTGAAAGGAGATAAGCAATTCAGAGATGATTAGAAAAGAAGTGTTCTGTATATTAATAAGTGTATGTTACCTAGTAAGAAAATCATCAAGAAAACTATTATTCAATAGATTTGCAAAAATTTCAATTTCATCATTCTAATAAAAAGTAGAAAAAGAAACTAAAGAAAAATGAGAAAACATTATATGCCTGATATCAAAAAATGTTCACACTTATGAGAAATCCCTGCATGAATTACCTTACTCACTATAAAGAGAAAGCACTTCAGTTTTATATGTTCATTTACTTATTTTACAAACCTATGTGTAACATCATATGTCAAATATTTTATAAAATAAAATTTTATATATTTTCTACTTTTACAAATTATATATATTACATATTTTATATACTATGCACACCTAAAAGAAATAAATGAGAAGTGGTTAAAAATATGTGAATAAAGAGATCAGATCACAAATGATCAAAAGGCTGTTAGATGCTTCACAATATTCACCTTTACCAACTTGGTTATTAAAATAATTCCAAGACTATGCTGTATATGTTGTTGTCCAAAACTGCTGTTGTTTAATGAATAAATTTTCATGGAATTAAATTCCTAAATTTTACTTATTCATTTTGCTTTGCAATACAAAACTGAACACTGTAGGAATTTGCCAATCAAATAAAAGCTGGTGGAACAATACTAAATCAAATGTAGTACATTTTAGGTAAAATATTTCAGTATTTAAGGTGAGATATTTAAACTAATAAATTTAAAAAATAATAAGACAATCATAAGGATCATGAGTGGTTCAATAATATAGTATTAAAAAAGTTTATTAAGCAGAAAATAATTATAAAGAACACTACCAATACACTTAATCTAGTAGACAAATGTAGAGTCATTTATCAACAGTGAACATATGATCTTTTCAAAGAAATATTTAACTGGCAAACAAATTTTAATGAGCCAAAAATTTTTCAATATACTTTATAGACTGTTTCACAGAATATATTTTATCATCACAGTACAAAAATACATTAATAAATAACAATATCCTATCCATTTGCAAGGGAAATTACATTCCCATTCAATGAATTAAAAAATGCATTAAAATTAAACTCAAGTTTAGAATAGAAGAGTAAGGAAATCATTACCAAAGTAGAAATTTCAAAATTTCAGTAATATTTGGAAAACTCCTATCTATGAAAATATTTAGTAAATGATATTGAGATAACAAATTTCAGAATACTTAAAACAGATAGAATTTAATAATGAAAAAAACTCTTAAAAGTATGAAGAAGGTAAGACGGAATCTAGCACTCTTTCCTTAGCCTTATTGTGTATAGATAACTATGAGCAGTAAAGAGGCTAAGAACTGTGTATCAGATGCTGCAGTTAGATAACTGGGAAAATATCAAGTATCAAGAGCAATCTCATTCGTAGATTTTCATTCTGAAGTGCTCTAAAACGTGCATATACAAATGTGTTTTGCTGTCTGGAAGGGTTTAGTTCCAGGAGTTTTGTGGGCACCAAAACCAATGCATGC